CTTGTTCCCAAAGATTCGATCAAAAAGACAAAAGCTTCATCATCAAGCCGTTGATTTACAAAAAAAAACAAAACAACACCGGCTTCTTGATCTTCTTCTTTACCTATCTACAGATTGTTCCAGTAGTAGTAAAAAGATCGAAAATTTACTCTTCCTCTGTTTTTCAAAACCTCTGAAACAAAACTTAGCTTCGATTCAGGGTTACAGAGAAAATTTACATTTGTTGTTTTCAACATTGACAAAATTTACCATCCATCTGATTCTGAACGGCTCTAACTGCAGCCACTCTTGCAGCCGTTGCAGCTTTATTAGCTGCAGCCACGGCTCGGCTCACTTCTTCATCGACTCTTCTCCGATTCACTGACTTCTTCGCTGTTTCTCGAGCTGCCTGCACCGCTCTACGAACCGGCTCGCTCGTAGGAGCAAGAAACGTTACAAGATTCCCTGAATCCCATTCACCGGATTTAGCATCACCGGTTCTAAACGAGTATGCACCATACCCTTGTTTACGACCTTCGTGCCATGCTCCTTCATAACAATGTCCATTAGCAAAACGATACACACCAAACCCATGAATCTTGTCTCCAAAATACTCCCCTGCATACTTATCTCCATTTCTGCAAAACCCAAAAAACAGAGCAAAAAGATTGAGTTTTTATTCAACAATTTGGGGTTTTCAGAACAAGACTTGAAATTTACCTGAAATGGTAAGATCCAAGTCCATGTTTGACACCAAATCTTGATTCACCAACATAAGAGCTACCATCAGCACAAGATTGAACACCAAAACCATGGCTTTGACCGTTAAACCATTCACCAGCATAACAATCACCAGTATAGAATCTGTAAACTCCATAACCATGTCTAAGACCTTGCTTATACTGACCTTTGTATCTACTTCCTCTAGCCCAGCTTTCAATCCCATGACCATCGTATCTACCATCGACCCAATCACCTTCGTATCTTCCTTTAACGAAGTAGTAGTAAACACCACTTCCGTTGCATTTCCCTTTGTGAAATTCACCTTCATAGAAATCTCCATTACTGTAAAATTGAACACTTTCTTTGACCCTTTTCTCTAATTGTGTTGTTATGATCTTCTTCTTCTCCGGTTTCGAATCGGAATCGCCGATGTACCACTGAACCGGTTTCGATTGGTTTCTGCTTTGAAAGCCCAAGTTTTTAGTGGTTTCTTCGCAGATTTGTTTGATTGCGACTACGGTTTGGTTGAGAAGTGCGATGTTCTTGGAGGCGAAGAAGAGAGCGACGGCGACGAAGATCAGAGCTAAGAGAAGATTCTCCGACGTAAGAATCTCGTTGGTTTGAG